CAATCCTACTTCCGTAGTGATACTGCCTCGGAAACCCAAGGAGGGGTCGCTATGAGTTGGGGCTGACTCGATGGCAAATAACAACAACAACAACAGAGGGTAGGCATGTATTAACCTGGGTGAGGGAAAAAGCAATATACAATAAGGAGGAGATCAGCACAAAATAATCAAGGCAAAGGAAGACACTGGGAGGGACACGAGTTAAAGGCAACAGAAGCAAATACTATTACTACTATTACTTACATAATCCTACAGTACCAGTAAAAATAATAATCTACTAATAGGTATTTAGATAGTACACACAGGTTGAATGAACAGGTATGGGAAGGCAAATGAAACAACAACATTCATGAATATATATAGACATAACAGAGGATATTTCTACATATGTATTTACATGTGCTGCAAATATATCCATATAGCATAGCATACAGGGGTAAAGTTATGAAAACTTCTTAGCCATAACCAAATACCTTGAAGGAATGAGTCTCTGGGCTTGGGGCCTTACCACCATAATAGTGGGGGGAAATCAAGGTCAAAAGGCACAACACAGTTCACAAAGAAAATGTACTATATCCTACTTTGGTGATTAGCTACTAGGGTCTTAAAAGCTTGAGAGCTGTCATCTAAGGTGCAACTATTGGTCTCTCCCCATCCAGATCTAAGAAGAATAAAGAAAATCAAAGATGCATGGAAACCATTAATACAAAAGACTAATGGACCACATGACCTTGACGCCAGAAGATCTAGATAGTGCCAACTACCACTACACTTTGAAAGGGATCATAATAGAAGGTTTTGAATAGAGAAAGAAAAATGTGGAACAAAACTCAATAATAATAATAAAAAGACCAGGTTTACTGGTAGAGACTCATGGTTCTGCATACAGTCTTTAGTCATCCTGCAAGCCTAGAATTTAATTCAACCCTGTGGCTCAACTTTCATCCAAACTATAGACAGGCCTACAAGGGAGCTCTGGTAGCATAGTGGCTAAGACACTTGCCTGCTAACCAGACAGCTGGCGGTTCAAACCCACCAGCCACTCCTCGGAAGGAAG